AAATGTGAGATTTGAGATCTAGAATCATTGCTTGATAAGGGAATTATTGACTTCGGCCCCTTATATGCACTATTATTGGTTGTTAATAGGTACTTCATTGATAAAAAAGGAGATAGGAATATATACTGTCATTCAACAAAGTTAATCCATAGACTCAGCATTTTACAATAATTTCATTCCTGCTAGGATGAGCATTACAATTACATTGAAAGTCAACACCCCAGATTCGCTTTATAGAATGCTTTGAGAGTAAAGTTCTCGACTCACCCCGTCGTATGTGAATCCATGCGGGAAGATTGTGAGATTAAGAGGCTGCCAAATTTCACACAACTCAGCGCAAGTATTATGGAAGATTGAAGAGCGTAAAAATTGTAGAAATTTTTCCACCACTTCTTTGTCGAGTAAAAACCGATGCTGAAACGTCTAACAGAGCTGTTTCTAGAAAACCTTAAAAAAACATTAGCATGGATAAAATCAACTCAAGTTGCAAATTGTAAAATGCAACTGAATGAGCAATTGAATAAGATGCAAGTATGAATGCTATACCTACCTGAATAACGTTACTAATAGTCATACAAGCGCTGACACTCAAGACAAATTACAGCTTCAGTGATGTTACGAAACTAAATCACATTTGTTGCGAATCATTCACTGAACTCTCTGAATCGTAGATGAATGTAACAAATATGCCAAAACACATAGAGCAGACTGTCTACAGCTATTCTGATTACCGTCACCACCATACCTCGGCTTTCGTAATTCTCATAACATGCAGGCGCAACGGTTGAGCAAAATGCTTTTGGTGAAGGTATGTTGCCGTAAAGTAATCGCATGATGAGCTTCTCATCTTCCTAGAAAAAAACAGAATTAGAAGTAATACGAAGCCCGTAGAACTGTTTGAATACAGTAGCATCTAAATGCTAGCCGAGAATTATTCACAAGTGAGAACAGAAGAGTGAGCCGAGGCGGTATCGATATTGCAGAAGAGCTGCAAAGATCCAGCTTGGACGCATACTAGTAGAAAAATCTGTTGAGCCGTAACCTCCATCGTCTGCATGTTATGCATGGACGAACACATGGTTGAGGCCTTCAACGCAACTTGAAGAAGCTGTACAGGAAGCATGACACATTCCTTATGGTCATCATTGTCGACGTGCAATACCAAAATTGACCTTAGAAGGAAAACTGACGTAATTTCAGATGGGAAGACTCAAAAAGGAAATGAATAAACAGGATAGAAGACTGTTCTGTGTTCTTCGTTCACTATCGAGAGTACTCTTTAGTTATAGCTATTCAGGCTGACAGAACCGCATGCACAGAGTACCGTGAGAAGGACAGGCCTGTGAGAAGAGGCTTTTATCTTCAGGCAAAACAATCAGCCACTACAAAAATTTATTAAACTATCCTCAGAGTAGATTATGCAGCTAGAGCATCTTTTTCAGCACGAACTAAAGAAAGAACTTCTTGTTGACGCAGAACTCACTGTAGAACATTTTACCGAAACACAAAGTTACAATTGCAGAATGAATCAACACAGAGAATACTGACATACCAACAAAGCTTGCAGCTTCAGGGCGCATAATCTTCTCATTATATTTCGCAACGTACTTTATCGTTGAAATTCAGTTAGGCAGTTGAGTAAAAAGCTAATATTATGATGTCAGACGGTGACGTTCAGCTTAGATGCGGATTCATGTCGAATTTGCGCTGCTTGATCCTGGCCAGTGATTGCTGACGGCCATCGAATAGGTGGCCGAGAGAGAAGCAGGAAATAGCCTTGATGGTGTGGTGAATGATTGATGAATCACTGGAAAATTCAATCGCGGATTCGAACTCACCTGATGTCTCAGGTTTTCATCGCAACTTGGCAGTTATGTGGTAGTATTTCGCAAAGTACCCAGTCGTTAGGAACTCATTAGGACGTAAAATTAGAGACTAATTTGTAGAGTTTCTGTTCAAGCGGATTACACAGTTATATAATATTCGGTTTTTTAGTAAGAAATGTCTTATTATGCAATGTGCAAAATCTAGTTATATTACTTCTGTCGGCAAAAGTTTTCACTATTGCTGCTCTATGTATCACTCCAAAGCCAATAGCTTACTACAAAAAAACAACACTCAAGCGTATCTTAGAGATTATTCTTGGTAAATCAAAAATGGTCGACTAAATGTATTCAAGTCTTAGATAGAAACTTCTATGTGAACACAACGGAAATCACGGGATGTCCATTTCTAGCACTGGTATTGAACAAGTGAAAACAGTCACAGTAGGGTTCTGTGTGATCCCTAAGTGTGGTCAGCAATCCACCAGTCGTCCAAATGTTCTAGGGAATCTCCTTCAACTATAAATACTCGCCGATCACGAAGTACTCAGAGGTCTTTGGCGAACTCGCCAGATCTAATGATGAGAATTTTAATTATATGAGGTAAGCAGGTGTAAATTGAATGCAGAGTGTCCTGATTCCTAAAGAACCGATTTCCAATCTATGATTTGGTGAGAGAAACTAGTAAAAAAGCGTTTCGTACAAAGTGTCTGAAACTTTCTCGAGTGCGTTAGACCGGAATGAGTGAGAATATGCACCAACCGCATGATATGCAGCTACCTTCTTCTTGCGATTTAACGAAATGAACGGAAAAATTCTCTGCACGTAACTATCAAATGCTGTCACGTAAGCTTCAAATTATCTAGGCACTAGCAACCAGATAAAACTTCTTGGCCATTTCTACACACAATAGAGACTGATGAAGACTCGAATACGTTTCCGCCAAAGAAGACGAGGATTCCTGAGTATATATATACATATACATGATTTATCGCACACACTTCATCGTGTTCACGAGGAGTTTACCGAGTGAGGTTCTTCATTCAAACGGTGGTTTCCCGAATGATGTTTGACTTAAACGAAACGAAGGCGAAGATGCACATCGAGGTCGCACAACAAAGGAAGATAGAACTTGAATCTGCAGCCTTGGAGAAAGGAATACGCATGGAAACGTTAGCCGAATAGGATTTTGCTGACAATCTCATGCTACAAGCTTAATCAACTGTGAGAAAATGATTGACTGGTTATGCCAAGAATTAAAGGAAAGCTGGCTTATTATACTTAAATATATATACTATATATGTATATATATATATATATGTATGTATATGTATATATGAAAGAGAGTAAGAAGAAACGTACTTCCCAAAGCGGATGGATGAAAAACACTCTCTCCCGTAACTCAGACATGAATCGATCACATAACGAACAGAATGGGCCTGAGAAAAACGACATGATCTTTGAGGATTCCATAAGGTAATTTATGCTCATGGCTTCATTTGATATACAAGATATGTCAAGATGAAAGATGTTCGCAGTTTCCTGATGTTACTTTTGACCGTTAACATATTTTTCTAATCGAATCAAATTGTCGTTGTGATGTGATGATATTGCTTCATATTTGCAATACAGAATTGAGGACTGTGCAGATTTTTGCACATATGTTATTTAGAGAGAGCATGTAAAACAATGTACTTTGAGACAAAGCAAGCACTTATTCGGAGGGTGAACGCAATAACTCCTCTACATTAGCCTTTACCAAGAGTTTTGTCAGGACTTTTAAAACTCTTCAAAAAACTGAGCAATTCATTAATTTTGAGGATATCTTTGCCAACATTTCCACTGAATCCGAAAAATATTTTTGGGATAGATGTAAACGAAAATGCACTATCAGCTTGAGCACGTTTAGATTGTGTACATTTATCATTTAGTGCTATAATGGACCGCCCACTAGAACTTAAGCGTACGAGTTCATGTTATTTTATCCCAGAATATTTTTACTCTACGAAATCGTCACGGGGGAGTCGCTGCCTAGTGGTTGTGATGTTTGGTCACGGCGCGCGTGGAGGCGAGCTCCACGCTCCCCCACCCCCATTTCTCTCCAGCAGTCATCAATAGCGCCCTATGCAATGCCACAGCGAAGCTATCCTCAAGATTGCAAGAAGACTCGCTCAACCAGTATCCTATGCCGTTCTAGAAGAAGACGAAAAAAAACGAATTAAATGCTAGAAGTACTGGGATCCGCACAGTAAAAAAAACTCCTGTGATGACGTATCAAACCAAAGTGCAAAGTGCAAAGAGATCGTCATTATAATGTCAGGTTTTTCCTGATTTTTAGGGAAAAAATTGAAAACTGATCTCATTGTTGGACAAAAAACGTTTCTTGGGAATCTTAGGTATTATTGGAAAGCTTAGATTTCTGGCTATAGCCCCACATGGCCGTTTTTCAAAACACCCTTTTATAACGCTGTAAAATTGAAATTAACATAATGTTTCATGAAATCACGTATTTTTTTCTGTTATCTCGCTTATATTTTGCTGGACAAAACTCCTTCCACCCAGTTGATAGCACTCAATTTATGACACGAGCTTCAAAAACTGAAAAATGTGTTTACTTTTCAGAAAGATCTTTTGATATTTCAATTTGTGCTTTAAAACCCCGCCGGACAGAGCTTTTCTTAGACTAATAGTAATCAACTGATAGAGTGATGTCTCCTGACTCCAGCGATGCGCTTAAGTTTTTGAAATACGGCTTAGCAGGGAAAAAAGACCGAGTTTTACACTTTTGGCAGATTGTTTACTGGCTACTCGACAGAGCGGCGGCCATAGCAGTGGGCGTGGCAATGGGCGGGACGGGGCGACCAATGTATTGTTATCAGGAGTTTACCAATTAGGAATTTTTCCTCCACTTTGAAAAGAACTCTAGATAAAACGATTGACTAAGATACTGTAAAAATTCTCTACACTTGATATGCTTTTCAGTTTCCTACGAGTTATACGCGTGACGAAAATGAAGGCGAAAGGCGAATGTGACACATAATTTTGATCTGGATACTACAGCGTCATGTACGTGTGCTTTGAAAAACCGCTGACGTGAGGCTGTAGCCTCATGTCCCAGCTTTTCAATGGTTGCTAACACTCATATAACTAAGAGAATTGAATGGTGAGCAAAAACACGGCCTCAGGCGGGAACTGAACCTGCGTTTCATCGTATCCGGGGAGGCATGCTCTACCACTACACCATCGAGGCCACATTTGCGCCATCACTCATTCTTCAACATCTCTTTGTTAGCTATCAGCCACCAACCTTTAGCAGGTTTGGTCGGATATGCGATTTCGCTCTATAAATCCCGACCATATCCGACCAAACCTGCTAAAGGTTGGTGGCTGATAGCTAACATAGAGATGTTGAAGAATGAGTGATGGCGCAAATGTGCCTCGGTGGTGTAGTGGTAGAGCACGCGTCCCCGGATAGGATGAAACGCGGGTTCGATTCCCGCCTGAAGCCGTATTTTTGCTCACCACTCAGTTTCTCTTAGTTATATAAGTAACATCATAACACTGCGAAAAAAAATCAGTAGAAATGCTATAATTTAGATGTTGCCAATACTCTTATGAAAAGTTCCTCTCTAGCTAATGAGCACCGTTCTTTCTCTGTTCCCTCCTAATCGGAAAGAACCGAATGTCAGCTAAGTAATATTTATATCACTGCAAAGTTAGCAAGATTATAAGGTTTTTGCTTCCGTTTCCAAACCATGTGGTTCCTGGAATTATATGATCTCCTACAGATGGCTTACAGATCCGTACTTGGGCGATTTCTTGAATGTTGAACTACGATCCACAGTAAGATTCATTCGCACATAAGATCATTGAAGATAAAATGAGCTCAACATTTGCTACAATACCTAGCTGGGAGTAAATGTATATTGCAAAAGATGAGAGGCTACTTTTGGCTATGAGTTAGACAAAAGCATTGAAACTGAGCGTCATCTCGAAGTGATACACTCCTCTTTCTGAAGTAAACGGAACTCACTAAGAATTGGTGATTACTTCGGCCACCTTATAATTATGGGGAACAAATTTGATTGAAAAACATGTTTTTACTTTTTCTATGTAACCATTGAAACGTAATACCAGGATGGACAGCAGCCAATGTCGCAAGAAATCCACACAGTTGGTCTTCTGTAATTGAGTTTAGATCCGTGATCGGTGGTTGATTACAAATTTCTTCCGTTTTGAACATGTAGTTCTAAATAATCTTTTCTATTATTAGCTTATCACATCGCACATCGGGGAAAAAACTCACATATATGGTCATCATCCAATTGTGAAATGGATCGTATTCAGCAAGAGTGCTATAAAATGTCGGCATTAGGAATGGTCTCCTTGATTCTGAAAACTAAATAGTAGCATCATGTAATGATTTAGGAAAATTCCCAGTTCTAGCATATATTCTAAAGCGACTCTTATATCGAGTTTGAGACTCTTAGAAACTTGCATATGATTATATTGCTATTGATGAATTAAAATGATGAAAGATAAAGCCTTCGGCATTGACCAATCCCTAAGAGATGCGACTGCCTTCGTCTTCAATTTTCAACTTCGTTCAAGGTGATTAAATGCATATCTGGCCTTTACAATGACTCGTGGTAGCCTATGGATGTATCGAGTCACTGCCGCTTATCCTCTTGGAAGAGGTGATGACCCGTTTAGTACCAATTTACCGATCCCGAAGGGATGGATGGCTTGATGAGCCATGAGCACGATTTAGAACCATGACCTTGTGTGCGACGCAGACCATCTCTAACCACTGCGCTATATGCGTTCCTATTTGATAAATTACTCTTCAAAAATGGATTATCCAAATATGATGTCTCATGAATATGTTTCACCACATGACAGACCTTCACTCTTGTGAAAAATTCTGAGGTCCATGTTGAAGAAGAATGAGCATTGTTTGCATTAGATTCTGTGAATCATGCGATTCGATGGTACCGACAATTCTAAAGTATGCAGCGATGTTTTTTCAGAAAAATGACGGAGCCATATTCATTGTCTTGTCTTCGCTTCTATATTATTATGTAAGCATTATTGCTTGTATCGACAGTGCTGTCTGTGTTGTCTGATTTCTACTGATTGTGTAGACAACGTTGGTGTTTTTCCAGAAACCAATGTTTTAGACGACGTCGATTCCCCAGATGTCGATGGCCTAGATGGTGTTTCAGAAAGTGGTCGTGCAGATGATGTCGAGTGTCTTTTTAGAAACCAGTGATGTAGACGGACGTCAACATTTTTGTAGAAGATCGAAGATTAATGCAGATGACATCCGTGGTGTTTCAGAAGCTTGGTGGTGTGGATGGGTTTGTGACTTACCAGGACACTGATAATGATGCAGATATCGACGTTGTCTTGTGCTGTTTTGTAGAAGTAGAGCTTTCGAATGTAGTAGTCTGTGTAGTTGATGGCATTGTAGGGACTGGGGGTGGTAAACATGGTGCGGTTCGGAGCAGGACAAGGAGGTAGCGTTGTCGCAGTTGCGTCATCCGGACGGGCCATGTACTTTGCAAGACCGAAAGAGCTGGAATCTAGAACCTGAAACATTCTTACAATAAGTAATATTATTGATATTTTCAATAGCATGAAAGTTCACCAAAAATATGGTGAAATAGTAATGATGTCCACGTCATATTTATTTTTATTATCCAGGACTGCCAAGTGATTATTACAAAAATTATTTTGTTTCTCAAACACATTTAGCACATTACTCAAATCAAAAAGATCTACCTCGGCAGTAAGGATCTTCTTAGTGAGCACATTAAGTCGATGATTTAGCTGGTTAGTCTCTTCTTGAACAAGTAGAGGAACATTGTTTTCAATTATTGAGCGACCTCGGTCAAGTGTCTCCTTGCAGTTTATTTTCTAAATGCGAAACGCTTCTATAAGATTGAGAACGAGTAAACAAAACTGTAAGGTGATAAGGACTTAGTAAAAATTTTTGTTAAGAATTTTTACAAATGGCCTCTAGTTTGAAGTGCGATTGATATACGACATATTTCAATCCTATCTAACGGATGAAATGCTGCAAGGACAACAATTCATGCCATTTCACTTTTTTGAAATCCATGACCTCCTAAGTTACAGACACATACTTGACAGTGTAAATTTGATTCGCAATGCGAAAACGTTTTGATGGATTGTTCTGCTCTTGAAACTTAGCACAGTTACTCAGCCAAGTGTTTTTATACGCTCACAGAGAAAGTCCAAGATATAGCATTCATAGTAATCATAACATTCATACAGTTTGTCCCAAATGTTTGTTTTTTTAAACCACGCTCAAATTTCAATATGCCTGATAATTACTTGTTGGAGTCATGCATGTGGTTGTTATGGGCAAGTTATACAGTGCAATACACATGTTTCGGCTTTGCAGTCTCGTCAGCTGAGCGTATGAGAAACCAAATTCCCTTACATAGAGGTAAGTAGTACGTCTGCGTCTCCTCTACGTAAGGGGGTTTGGTTCACCCTAAGAGGATTAGCTGGTTAGGGACGAAAGGCACTGTGCAGACTGAAGAAGCTGCGCAAGGCTGAAATACGTGTATTGCACTGCATAAATGCCCATAACACCGCATGCATGACTCAGAAAATAATTATCAGACACAGCATTCAGTTGCATAGTGAACAACTTTTTGAAGAGAAACTTGCTGTTTTCACTATGTTGCCTTCGCCAGGGAGATGCTAGTTGTACGTTACCAAATTTTCGACCAAAAAAAAAGTCAACACTAAGTGAGGCGCGAGGTCACGTACTCACTTGCACAGCATACCCGTGCAGCCCATCTCTTAGACTTTTGAGCTTATGAAAAATACCTTGATCATTTTAACGTAATCAATTTCTTCAATCTGAATAGTCTTCTAAATTTCGGAAAATAAACTAAGAAAAATTGGACTTTTCGATATAACCACATCTTGCAAGCGACTATTTTAAGATTTTGCTCAAAAATAATTTAATTTGACATCTATTTTGAGCGTTTTACGAAGCCTGTTATAGACACCTATATAGTGCAAGACACGTGTTTCAGCCTTACAGACTCGCCAGTTGCACGGTGCCTTTTCGCTCAGTCAGTTCCTTAGAGTACTATCCCTTTACAGAGAAATCGACGACAAGCCTGTTACACTCGACGAACGGGTGAAACAATCACCGGGGGCGTCTTTCTCATGAGAATCTCAGAATACGTAGTTACCTTATATTCTTGAAAGTAAGGCACTCCAATATCAACTTTGCGCTTGCTTTTGCTTTTACAGAACATTTCAACTGCCTCCTCAATGCTGAGGTTGAAAAAAAAAACAGTTCCAAAAAGTCCTTACTTAAAAGACGTTGATAAACAACACTACATTGACTGTTAGTTAGTAAAAGAGTGTCGATCACCAAATCAATATGGTGTGCAGTTTTTAGAAACTTAATCGTAATAAGCCGTAAAAAATAGTGGAATATCATGAAACGTTAACGCTTTTCGATTATCACACTAAAAAATCACTCTTAAACATCTTATTGAAGGGATAGATTTCAAAACATGCAGAAGACTCACAAAATCGTTGGCATTCGTAAGTCTTACAATTAACGGAACAAGGAGAATTGAATACATTCATTGATCGGTGTGAAGCAGTTCACTAATGGTGTTATCAGTGACGAAGCTAATGATTTCATCGCTTATCATTGGCATCAAACGTGCTTCATTCTATCTCCATTTTTATCTTGAATCCAAAAGATCAATTCTCACCAAACTGTGGCATGAAAACTGAAAACTATCATACAAAGTGTTCTTCAAAAAAAAAAAATTGCACGAGGTTGCCATGTCTCCATCGAAGTCTACACTGACGATTCTGACAAGTCCGAATTCCTCAAAGCCGCTTCGCTGTCCCCTAAATTCTTTCGCATTTTGGCACTTTTGTTCATACAATTGTTAGTCATTAGACGGATTAATCGATTAACAGTTTAATCACTATCATGATAACGATGTGCAACCATTAGCTGGGCAAAGAGATGCTTTCCAAAAAAATGACGTTGGCGATCAAAGAAGTGGATGAGGGTCGCCTTCGAACTGGTTGTGGTCTCCAAATTTTTTGTCTCCCACAGATGCTTCTTCCAGAGCGACTGAGGAGATGATAAGATGGAACAATAACAGAGCTATACGGTGAGTGTGGATGCCATGATCCAACTCAGTTTCTCCAGAATCTGGTGAGTCGGCTTTGTAA